AGAAAGTGAAACAATACCAAGACTCAGTGTTGGGCCCTGCATAGCTTTAGCCTTTGGTAACAAAAATGCTGAAGCCAGGGTCCTTTAGATTCTTGGTGTGTGTGCATGCAGCACTGGGGCTTGAGCTCCGAGGCCTTTCAACAAGCTACGGCCCAGCCCTTTTTATTTTTTATTTTGAAACAGGGTCCTCTGTTTGCCCAGGATGGGAACCTCACAACCTTCTATGTCCTGTGATCCCTTTCATTCCCACTTAGCCGCTCATCTGCTTTCAGTCTGTGTAGATCACCTCGCTCTGGTGGACATTTCATGAGTAGATTCCTACAGTATTTTTTGGTGACTGTCTTCTCTAAGAGTGTACTAGGACTTTGTTGCTTTTTGTCTGCTGACTAATACTTCACTGTATGGATAGGCCACCTTCTGTGACCTGTCCTCTCCCAGGGAGGACCCGTCTATGAAGGCCAAGAAGGTGTTTCAAAGAGAGAACAAGATGGGGCGGGTGACCGAGCAGGTGCCAAGTGTGCTCTGTGCCCTGTGGGAAGGCAGTATGTATGGGACGGGGGCAGCATCCCACAGCCATGCTCATACAAGGTATGGACTTCCCTGCAAAGTTGGGCAGTTGAGGGGAGGAGGGCTTTTGTTAGGGTTTTGTTTGGTTTGGATGTGGAAGACATAAGTTCTTTAAGGTCCAAGTGGAAGGAAAGCTGCAGAGGCAGTGAGAGGTTTGGAGAGTGCAGAGAACAGGATGTGGCGGTAGAGAAAGGGCTCAAGGAGCCCCGAGATGCGACCAGGGACTGGATGGAGCTGACCGAGAAGGAAAAATGGTGAATAAGAGAAAATGTAAAGTGCCTTTTGTTTGTTTGTTTGTTTCTAGACAAGTGTTACACACTGAGCTTCACTCTCAGCTCAGAAAGGTAAAACTCCTAATCAAAGAGGGATAACTTCAGTTATTCAGAAATGTTGTATTGTTCATCAGTGATGTCAGGGAAATGGGACAAGTGTGTTTTTTGTTTTTGTTTTTGTTTTTGTTTTTGTGGTACCAGAGATTGAACTCAGGACCCTGCACTTTGCAGGCAAGCACTTATTCTACTGAGCTATCTCCCTGGCTACTGGTGGTTTTTGTGCATAAGGTAAAACAAAAGTACCGTGAAATTTGCCATCTTCTCCTTCCCTCTGTATATTCTTTTTGTTTTTCTCCCTTCTTTCTTTCTTTCACTTTCTCCCTCTCCCCTTTTCTCCTTCTCCCCCCAGCACTAGGGATTGAACTCAAGGCCTTGCATTGCTAGGCAGATGTTCTACCACTGGGCAACACATTGCTCTGTCCTTTTTTACCTTTTAATTTTGAGACAGGGTCTTGCTAAATTGCCCAGGCTGGGGTCAAACTTGTAATTCCCCTACTCTAGCCACCCCCGGCAGCTGAATTACAGGTGGCTGCCACCATGCCTGGCCATCTCAATCATTTTAGTGTGTCATTCAGCAACATACATTCACCATCATAAAACCATCACCCTTGCTGTCCCCATCGGGCTTTTTCGTCTTCCCCAACTGCAACTCTGTCCCCATAAAGATTAAGTCCCGGGTTGGTGAGATGGCTCAGTGGTCTAAAGCACCTACTTAGAACAAGCTTAGCAAAGCCCAGGGACCGCGGTTCAATCCCCCAGCCCCACATGCCAGCCAGCCCTGCCCCCTGGTGGGCTGAGCTGGCCACACACACACACACACACACACACACACACAAA